GATTTGCATCAAGTTTAGAAGTATTTTCAACAATTCTCTCTTGTTTTTTGTTTTGTTGATAAACAACTAATTGTGTTGTATGCTTTTTGTATATGTAGAGAATAACTATTGAAGAGATTAAAAAACATCCTTGGTTTCTAAAAGATTTGCCTATAGAATATATGGAAGGGGAGGATGCAAGTTTACAAATGAAAGAAGAAAATGAACCAACTCAAAGTATTGATGAAGTGTTAGCTATAATTCAAGAGGCAAAAAAACCAGGAGAAGGGCCCAAAGGTTGTGATTTATTGGTCAAGGGAATAAGTAGTAGCATTGATCTTGATGATGATGATGATTCAGATATTGATGATGATACTGATGATGAGATAGAGACAAGTGGGGAATTTGTTTGCGCTTTATGAGTGTTAGCTTGTGTATAATAGACTCGATGTGATCAGATTCTTTATCGGGTTTGCATATGGCAGGAGATTGATGTAGATTATAAGATAGAGATGAGTGCATGTTTTTTTTATCTTTGTATTATGAGTGTTACATGTGTATATTTGATGTGGTTCGATTGCTTCTTGAATTTTATTTGTATAGTGAAAGCTTTAGTGTGTTCATTAAAGGTTCTTTATGATGAGTGTTACTTTACATTGTGTCATGAAGGTCAAAGTCAAAACTATGATGATGATCATTCTTTAGCCATGAAAATGATATTTTTTCCTATGGTTGTTTAACCATGATTAAGTGATATCAGATATGTATTTTCACTTTACTTCGAAATTATGTATAAGATAAAGTTTCTTGATTCGGTGAAAACGCCTGTTATCGATAAATATTTACCTTTTTTAGCATAGCGGTTTTAAGTTTTACTCTATGGCTTTTTGCCTTTTACTTAATCTCATATATATTATGTTTATGAAATTCTCTAATTTTGGTAAAGATTATACCATGTAGAAATATTCAATCATGTATGAACCTTTTGATTCTATATAACATTCTTGTAATTGTATATAAACACTACAAGTTGTACCTATGTTATGAACCACATGTTCATTAGACCAATAAAATGCATAAAGAATTTGTTGTTAATGTCTGATAATTCATATATCCGATCCTAACTGATATTCAACAAAGCACAATTGTTATTATTCAAATAAATCTATCAACTAAATCGAGAAAATTTTAACCTTACAATAAGAGTATATATACTATTATACCTACATGTCACTTGAACACAATTGCTTGCTCTATGTTCACATCCATTATCTAATGATTATTTCGAATGACTAACTTTCTTTTTTTTTGTTGGTTACAAGATTTCCAGGGTATATATTTTTGAGAAAAAACAGGATAATGTTTCTGTGCTGCTTCTATTAATTCTTATGTGTCCTCCCAATAATTGATATGTGTGTCCCACTTATATATAAGTTAGTAACAATTTTGTGCTATAATAGTTGTCTTTAATTATTGATTCTTTGGCTAGCTAGATCTTGAAGTTTCCCATAATAAATGTTAATGGATAGGGTTGACAAAATAGAACAAGTAACCATCTAATCTGACCTATTAAATGTACGGATAAGGGTCAAAATTGCCCCTGAACTATGCGAAATAGATCATTTATACCCTCCATTATATTTTGGGATCAAAAATACCCCCGCAGTTATCCCAGGAGACCACAAATACCCTCAAGAGTTAACACCCCAATTTTTTAGTGACGTGGCAACCCACATGGGACTAATCCCTCCACCTAAGCATTGTCAACTAAGATTCACTACAAAAGAACTTGACTTTTAGTGGCGACAAAGTCGCCACAAAATCCCAAAATATTGCCACTAAAGGTTATGAGTGATTTTTAGTGGCGACTAAGGCTCCAACAACCATTCGCTAGTAAAACCTATTTTTTCAACAAAAAAAAATGATAATTAATTTTCAATTGCGACCTAATTTTCTAAAATAAATAACTTGCAATATTCATATTAAAAACATCCAATATTATTAAGAAAAATAATCAAAATTACTTCTCGATTCAAATCTCCTACTATATATATATAATGCATCATTGAACATATTATACATTTACATATGACATAAAAATAAAACATATTGTGTCTTCAAACTCCTACTTAATTAATATCATATTTGGTTTTTTAAAAACAATGAAGAAAAAAACACAAAATTAGAATTTAATGTTAAAAACTTTTAGTGACGATTTTCTGGGCTTTTGTGGCGACTGTTGTTGCCGCTAAAGGTCTAGTTCTTTTGTAGTTAATCCTAGTTGGCAACGCTTAGGTGGAAGGATTAGTCCCACGTCAACAAAAATTTGAGGTGTTAACTCTTGAGGGTATTTGTGGTCTCCTAGGATAACAGCAGGGGCATTTTTTATCCCAAAATGTAACGAAAGGTATAAATGGTTTATTTCATATAGTTCGAGGGCAATTTTGACCCTTTTCCATTAAATGTAAGATTGGATAACTAATCATATACATCAAAAATATCTTTAACAGTAATTAATTAACGATGATAGTTTAATTGTCGTTAAATATATTCTTTTAGAGGCAGTTAACACTCTTTATAAATGTCCCTAAAACATATAACAACATTGGATCTAATAGCAATTAACTAATGCTGGTAAAGACTTTAGCACTATTTGTTAATATATATGCATATTTATTATCGCTAAAAGTTATTTTTATTGTAATGATAATAGATCAAATATAGATATTATTCATAAATTCACTAAAGAATAAATATTCAGATGAGTAATATGAAATTTTTTCATGGAATTCATTAGAGGAATGTTTTTGATAAAAAAAATGATTATTCGGATGTATTTCTACTATTTTTTAAAATTAATTTCACCAATACATATAATTTAGAAGAATATGTGAGTGATTCATATACAACTGATATTCATATAACAATACTCATTTATTCACTTGTTATTTTTTAATTTTCAGTTTTATCTTTGTGTTCATTTATGATCATGTTATACCCATCGATTAACTTATTTTTTAATCAATATTAGATACAAATAAATTAAATATTACATCCGTTCTTATTTAACTCATTTTTTATCCGTTTATATTCGATCCGACTCCCATTTTTGCCACTCTAGTCATGGGAGACATTAGAAAATGGGAAAATTTCACATCAATCATGCAGCACATCAGATAATTAAACATTAAACAACATTATGAATGTGTGTTGAGCTTTATAACAACATCATCAACGCTTAGTGATAGGGACTTAAATTAATATTAATAAAGTTATTATATATATAATAGTAGAGTTAATAATGTTTTTATTTATAAAAAAAAGTATGAAACAACTTGTAACTTTATGTTTTTATTTTCTTTTTCAAAAGAGCTTTTCACAAAAAAAAGAAAAGAAGGGAAATTGTATGAAATAGCAAACTATTAATTCAAATTAAATGTTATAGCCATAGTTTATGTTAATTGTAATTCGCAGCAAACATCCCCTTTTTTTGTCATCTGATTCGGTATACAATTAGTCATTTTCGGTATACAATTAGCCATTTTATACATTTCGGTATAAAATGTGTTTGTGTTTGTATAAAGTGAGAGAAAAGTGTATAGACAAATACAAATACATATATTTTCGTCATATACACTTATAATTATACAAATACAGATCTTATTATACAAATTACAATGTATAAATGAATTTATACAAAACTGAACAATTTGTATAAAATTGGATGTTTGTAGCGAATTATACAAATCAAAAGCTCCATTGCAAACATAAAATTTGTTATGGAGCGCAATTATACAAACTATAGTTATAACTTACACATATAATTTTTATGTTTGTTATATGTAAAAGTTGCTCTAAAAAAATAAGGCTTTTTATTGAGGTCCTACCTACGAGGAGGCCCATTATGATCACTTGGCCCAAAAGGCCCAACCCACCTCTAAGCCTTATTAGCACAAATCAATCGCACAACTGTCTCTATTTGGGACGGTGTTTAATATAACTTATGTCTCATAACTTGACTCCTACAAAATTTATATCAAGCGTGGAAAAAATTCATTAATTTTATGCCGAGTAAATTAGATCCCGATAAATAATAATAATTTGATCCACATATAGTCAATGTTTGTACTGAATTTGGATTTTATATATCTTATGTTAGTCCAGAATCATAGTTGTGTGATTTATTAATGATGCACTGGGTAATGTAGCTTATTACAAGCAAGCAATTGTTTAAACCTCTTTAATTAATTAAACAGGCACTCCATGATTCCAAGGGTATTGACAAAGAACTTTTAAGTGTTAGAAACTGATTTTATAATTAAATAGTTGCGTGTTTGGATAAACGTGTATTTGTTGAGAATTGCTATGCTCTTTTTTTTGTCGGTAATGACTTTTGTACCGTTAGATGTTCATAACCACTCTACGTCTCAATTCCAAACTTGAGTCTGAACTGTCTATATGATTCTCACTTATCATGTTATTTCATTTAGACTCTTGTTTTTCCTTTGCTTAACATTGCAAAAAAAATAAAAATTTAACACATTAGTAAGTGATTGGCCTATTTTTCTCATTTCTAATAATGTTTATATAAGTTACAAACTTACAATATATCTTTTTAAGGCACCCAATAGCCAACCATCAAACATACATAGAAACAAATCTACTTACTATACTATCCTTATCATTAAATAACAAAAGCGACTTTTACTTTTACCCTTTTTTATTTGAAGTCTCAAACAAGACTTCAACACGGGGTCGATGGCTATTAGCCACCCTATAATCGCGTCTTATCTCACTTATCATGTTGTTTCATTTAGACTCCTGTTTTTCCTTTGCATATTGTTAACATTGCAACAAAAAAAAAAATGTAACACATAAATAAGTGATTGGCCTATTTTTCTCATTTCTAATAATGTTTCTATAAGTTACAATATATCTTTTTAAGGCACCCCAATAGCCAACCATCAAACATACATAGAAACAAATCTACTTACTATACTATCCTTATCATTAAATAACAAAAGCGACTTTTACTTTTACCCTTTTTTGTTTGAAGTTTCAAACAAGACTTCAACACGGGGTCGATGGCTATTAACCACCCTACAATCGCGTCTTATCTCACCAGGACGCCCCAATTGTAGATCACCCATCTTAACCATACCTTCAGCAAAATCCTTAAAAAACCTTTCTTGATCAACACTATACTCCTTAACATACTCCCTTGTTATAGAGTTAGTAAAAAGTGTTTCATCAGAATTCAGAAACCCTCTCCCATTCACCAAATCTTTGAAATACTGATTATCAAACAACTCAGGTGTTGCATCTAAATCTCCAGTCACATTCCCATCACCACCAAGTGGACAAAGTTTGTCTAACTTTTCTCTGAATGATGGCTCAATGGAAGGGTCGGGACGCCCCGATCCGGACTGATTGTATAGCCTAAACACAATGGAGAAACATCTTCCTTTGCCAATGGAATGAGAGCCAGAGAGGGCTACAAGATCTTGGACTGAAAGATTGAATCTGCTAAAAAGATCAATGAGATACGTTGCATTTGATCTTGGACTTGGCATGATTTGGTTTGAGTCTTCTTGGCTTGCTGTTAAACTGTCTAGTCTTCCCAACTTTACTTCCCAATATGGACCTCCACTCTGATGAGTACAAAGATAAAAACAAATATCAGTAGTCGCTTTAGCTCATTTCACACTCATTAAAAAAAAAAAGTAAATATAATGGATTGTTTGACTAAGTTGCGCATATTTATTACTAGTAGATGTTTCTTAAGAATTGATGTAAGGGTATAATTGGAAACTATTACTAATTTTAGTCTTGAATTATTATAAAAACAACTTATTTTGGGATGGAGGGGTACTAATCAAGTACTATTTGTTTTTCTTATATTTGAGGGGCAGCGAAAAATACAAAGTGATTTCTTTGTCGTTTATCTAAACAGAGTTGTTTGTTCATGAATAAATTAAATATTTGGAATACGTGATATTTAAAGATAATTTCAAATAAGTATTTGTTTATCAAGCTTGAAAATACATAATTTTAAGTATGAAAAATATATTTTAGGGGTATTTTCAAGTTTTCACTCGAAAAAGAAACTTTAAAACTTTTTATCTCAAAAATACCCTTCAAAATAATTTTTATTTTTCGAATCTCAAACAAATCATAACCAAACACCTACTAAAAATTTTAATGGGAAAATATTTATATCGAACTTGTAATGCTCCGCCGCCCTACCCCCCCCCCCCAATCGATATCCTCGCTACTAGGCAAAAACTCATATAGTTATAGCGGTTAATAGACACCAAATATACCTTGTGGAGGAGGCGGCGGCACTCCCAAAGCAAGACTTACAAATGAACCCCCCTCCTCTCCCCTGCCTCCCCTACCCTCACCCCACCACCACCACACAACCCCCCACACACAAAAGTAATAAAAAAACAATGATCTTTTTCCTTTTTTAGGAAATGTAAGTTAAAAGATAAGACTTGAAAAATTTACCAGAACAACAGCATCTCTAGCAGCAATGATTAAAAGATCAGCACAAGAAACAACACCAGGACAAGCTTTCTCCAAAGCCTCTTTAACATCATCAACAACTTCATAAGACCTCAATGAATCTATATTAGATAAAGCTAACTTTTCACCAAGCATGTTTGGTGTATCATCCAACAACAAAGAAGCATCACATCCCTAAAAAAAAAAATCAACAACACAAAACATTAGCCAAAAAGCACCAATCTTTATGGGAAAAAAATCAAGAACTCAAAACAGTAACCAAAAAGAATCAATTTTTATGGCAAAAAAATCAAGAACTCTAAACATTAACCAAAAAGAACCAATCTTTATGGGGAAAAAGTCAAAAACTCAAAACATTAACCAAAAAGAATCAATTTTTATGGAAAAAAAATCAAGAACACACAACATCAACCAAAAAGAATCAATTTTTATGAAAAAAATAAGGGGGAGGGGGGGGGGGGGGGGCAAATGGGGTTCTTGAAATTCTTACATTAACAAAACAATCATGAAATTGCAATCTCATAACAGAAGCTATGCTTCTTGTTTCTCTTTTCATAGCTTTTTTCATAACTTCTTTGACTATAAATTCAGCTTTTGGGCAAGTGTGAGAGTAAAAATTTGGCTTTAATGTTGTAGAAATAGCAAAAAGATTCAAACTTTGGAGAAGAATGAAGAAGAACAAAAGGGTATAACCCATTCTTGATTCTTGGGGGTTTATTTTTTTCAAGAAAAAACTAGTTTTTTTTTTTGTTCTTGAGAGAGATGGGTTGGGTTCTTTAAGGAAGAAATTCCTAATTTGCATGTGTTGTCAGCATTATATAGAGGATTTTTTGGTTGAGACAAAGTGGCCAATTGTGAAGAGTTTGTTTTGGGTTGAGTGGGGTTGGGGGTGAGGTGGGGTAGCGTAGGGTCATGGTCTTCTGTATTTTTGTCATTTATTTTCTGATTTTTCAATCAATTGGACCTACTAGTTGCATTGGTAGTAGAATAGGTGATGTATTTTTCTTTTTATTTATTAGAATCGAAATTTATTGACTAGATTAATTTAAATTTATTGACTATAATTGAATACGCTCCTAGTCAAGAAGTTTATTATTTCCGAGGACTAAATCTAGACGGTTCTAAGGTAAAATTCAGTATTTTCTCATCTCCTGTTTATTTATTGCTTTTGGAAAAGTTACACCAAAATTAGTAATTAGTATCATGATATATTATTTTGTGAGAAGGTGAAAAACTGAAAATAATAGTATCGAGATTAAATTTATTGAATTCGAAACTAAATAAGTTTCCCGAGGACTGAATACGCTCCTTGTCAAGAAGTTTTTTATTTCCGAGGACTGAATCTAGACTATTCTAGAGTAAAAATTCAGTATCCTTTTACCTCCTGTTTATTTATTGATTTTGGGAATAGTTATACCAAGATAGTGATTAGTATCTGGATATATTACTTTGCGAGAAGGTGAAAATAATAGAGATTGATTATTTTGAGATAAAATGATGAAAATGACAAAAAAATCCATGAGGTCCTCAAATCGTTTTTCTACTAAATAAGATGGATGAAGGATTTTCTTTTTTTTGTAAACCAAACAACTTCTTCTTAGAAGTTATGCAATACATGTTATTTTTAATTTAATAAATCAACCGATCAATAAAATATAATATCACCATAATGAATTTCAGCATTATTAATTTTCCATTTCCAGCATAACTTGTCTTCAGACCAAACAACCCCTAATCTACGAAGAAAAACAATTACTAACACTTTTTGCACACATGCCCTATCTTGCTATATGATTAACAAAATTTTGCAAAGTTTCAATTTGAGTCATTTGATATAAATGTAATTAACATAATGGTAAGAATGATTAGATGTGACTTAACATTGATAGTTGGGTGTATTATATGATGACACGTAAAAATTGAAAACGAATCAGATGTGATTTAATATTGATATTTGGACATATCATGGGATAATAGATGAAAATTAAAGACAAATTAGATGTGACTCACATTGACAATTAAATGTAAATTGAAGACAAATCGAATGTGACTCAACAAAAGTGCATGGTAGATACCGATCATCACGAGAAAAATTTCACACAAGGTATTTCTTAAGGCTTAGCTTTAAATATACAAATCTATGTATACTTATTTTGGGATAAAGGGGGTACTAATCAAGTACTATTTGTTTTCCTTATATTTGAGGGGCGGAGAAAAAAACACAAAGTAATTTCTTGTCATTTATCTAAATAGAGTTGTTTGTTAATAAATCGAATATTTGAGGTACTTGATATTTTGGGAGTATTTCAAATAAGTATTTGTTTATCAAGTTTGAAATAAATAATTTTAAGTATGAAAAATATATTTTAGGAGTATTTTCAAGTTTTCACTCAAAAAAAAATACTTCTAATTTTAAAACTTTTAATCTCAAAAATACCCGTCAAAATAAATTTTATTTTTTGAATCTCAACCAAATTGTAACCAAACACCTACTAAAAATTTTAACAGGAAAATATTTTTATCGAACTTATAACCCTCCGCCGCGCACCGCACCCAACCACCAATCGATATTCTACCTACTAGGGCAAAAACTCATATAGTTATAGCAGTTCATAGATGCGAGATGTACCTTGTGGAGGCAGCGGCGGCGCTCCCAAAGCAAGACTTACAAATGACGTGAGTCATCATTTTGATAGGAAAAATACATCATTTTTTCTTCGCTTGTATAGATGGTAACTAGTTTACAGATATGTGTTTTGCACGTGTGTTCCATGTAATTTTTTATAAATCCGTAAAATGATGGAACACACGTGCAAAACATACAAATCTATGTATACTTATTTTGGGACAAAGGGGTACTAATCAAGTACTATTTGTTTTCATTATATTTGAGGGGCGGCGAAAAAAACACAAAGTAATTTCTTGTCATTTATCTAAATAGAGTTGTTTGTTAATAAATCGAATATTTGAGATACTTAATAATTTGGGAGTATTTCAAATAAGTATTTGTTTATCAAGTTTGAAATAGATAATTTAAAGTATGAAACATATATTTTAGGAGTATTTTCAAGTTTTCACTCAAAAAATAAATAAATTCTAACTTTAAAACTTTTAATCTCAAAAATACCCTTCAAAATAGTTTTTATTTTTCGAATCTCAACCAAATTGTAACCAAACACCTACTAAAATTTTAACAGAAAAATATTTTTATCAAACTTATAACCCTCCGCCTCCCACCCAACCCCCAATCGATATTCTCACTACTAGGGTAAAAACTCATATAGTTATAGCGGCTCATAGATGCGAGATGTACCTTGTGGAGGCAGCGGCGGTACTCCCAAAGCAAGACTTACAAATGATGTGAGTCATCATTTTGATAGGAAAAATACATCATTTTTTCTTCGCTTGTATAGATGGTAACTAGTTTACGGATACGTGTTTTGCACATGTGTCCCATGTAATTTTTTATAAATCCGTAAAATGATGGAACACACGTGCAAAACATACAAATCTATGTATACTTATTTTGGGACAAAGGGGTGCTAATCAAGTACTATTTGTTTTCCTTATATTTGAGGGGCGGCGAAAAAAACACAAAGTAATTTCTTGTTATTAATCTAAATAGAGTTGTTTGTTAATAAATCGAATATTTGAGATACTTAATATTTTGGAAGTATTTAAAATACGTATTTGTTAATCAAATTTGAAATAGATAATTTTAAGTATGAAAAATATATTTTAGGAGTATTTTCAAGTTTTCACTAAAAATAAATAAATTTAACTTTAAAACTTTTAATCTCAAAAATACCCTTCAAAATAGTTTTTATTTTTCGAATCTCAACCAAATTGTAACCAAACACCTACTAAAATTTTAACAGGAAAATATTTTTATCGAACTTATAACCCTCCGCCGCCCACCCAGCCCCCAATCAATATTCTCGCTACTAGGGCAAAAACTCATATAGTTATAGCAGCTCATAGATGTGAGATGTATCTTGTGGAGGCAGCGGCGGCACTCCCAAAGCAAGACTTACAAATGATGTGAGTTATCATTTTGATAGGAAAAACACCATTTTTTCTTTGCTTGTATAGATGGTAACTAGTTTACGAACACGTATTCTGCACGTGTGTTCCGTGTAATTTTTTATAGATCCGTAAAATGATGAAACACACGTGCAAAACATACAAATCAATGTATACTTATTTTGGGACAAAGGGGTACTAATCAAGTACTATTTATTTTCCTTATATTTGAGGGGCGGCGAAAAAAACACAAAGTAAGTTCTTGTCATTTATCTAAATAGAGTTATTTGTTAATAAATCGAATATTTGAGATACTTAATATTTTGGGAATATTTCAAATAAGTATATGTTTATCAAGTTTGAAATACATAATTTTAAGTATGAAAAATAGATTTTAGGAGTATTTTCAAATTTTCACTCAAAAAAAATAAATCTAACTTTAAAACTTTTAATCTCAAAAATACCCTTCAAAATAGTTTTTATTTTTTGAATCTCAATCAAATCGTAACCAAACACCTACTAAAATGTTAACAGGAAAATATTTTTATCGAACTTATAACCCTCCGCCTCCCACCCAACCCCCAATTGATATTCTCGCTACTAGGAAAAAAACTCATATAGTTATAGCGGCTCATAGATGCGAGATGTACCTTGTGAAGGCAGCGGCGGCATTCCCAAAGCAAGACTTACAAATGATGTGAGTCATCATTTTGATAGGAAAAATACATTTTTTTCTTCGCTTGTATAGATGGTAACTAGTTTACGGACACGTGTTTTGCACGTGTATCCCATGTAATTTTTTATAGATCCCTAAAATGATGGAACACTCGTGCAAAACATACAAATCTATGTATACTTATTTTGGGACAAAGGGGTACTAATCAAGTACTATTTGTTTTCCTTATATTTGAGGGGTGGCGAAAAAAACGCAAAGTAATTTCTTGTCATTTATCTAATAGAGTTGTTTGTTAATAAATCGAATATTTGAAATACTTAATATTTTGGAAGTATTTCAAATAAGTATTTGTTTATCAAGTTTGAAATACATAATTTTAAGTATGAAAAATATATTTTAAGAGTATTTTCAAGTTTCACTCAAAAAAAACTTCCAACTTTAAAACTTTTAATCTCAAAAATACCCTTCAAAAATAATTTTTATTTTTGAATCTCAACCAAATTGTAACCAAACAACTACTAAAATTTTAACAGGAAAATATTTTTATAGAACTTATAACCCTCTGCCGCCCATCCAACCCCCAATCGATATTTTCACTACTAGGGCAAAAACTCATATAGTTATAGCGGCTCATAGATGCAAGATGTAGCTTGTGGAGGCAGCGACGGCACTCCCAAAGCAAGACTTACAAATGATGTGAGTCATCATTTTGAAAGGAAAAATACATCATTTTTTCTTCGCTTGTATAGATGGTAACTAGTTTACGGACACGTGTTTTGCACGTGTGCTCCATGTAATTTTTTATAGATTCGTAAAATGATTTAAATCTATGAAAACATGCATCTAATTAGTAATAAAATGCAACAGCCACAGTATACTTTAAATTTACTGATCAGATTAATTTAAATTTACTGAACACGCTCCTTGTCAAGAAGCTTTTTATTCTCGAGGACTGAATCTAGACAGTTCTAAGGTAAAAAGTCAGTATTCTTTTATCTCCATTTTATTTATTGATTCTGAGAAAAATTATACCAGGACTAGTAA